GAGGAAGAAGACCTAGGGAGCAGTGAAAGAGATCACTATATTAAGGCCAGGAAACTATTCCCTAATAATTTTGGTAATCTTGCATTCAAGGTGGGCAAAAATCACTTCAAAAGATATAAGACCCTTCATTCAATACCCAGCAAGTCCTCATTGGCAGTTCACAAACTATTTTATAAAGCATCAGGAACATTCACTCCAAATGGAGAAGGGTTACGGTGAACTGGGTTTCCTACCTTCATGAGGAAGAAAAGCAGGATGATGATGAAGACACTGACTTTCGGATGGATCCAGGCAGCAGATTTCCCTAGGATCTGAGGGTCCCCTGTGTATTTTGCCCAGGTATAGTTATCAAAGAGAGAGCTGATGGCTTCCCGTGGCATCAACTAAACAGCAAAAAAACCAGGCATGAGCCATGAGATTAGATGGAGTAAATACTCCACCTCTGTTCCAAGAAAGTGGAGGAGATTTTTACTTTGGTAATTCATGATTATGAGACTTAATTCACATTTTTAATCTTCAGGAAGAGAGATGGGACTTTACCTGAACTAGTGAAAGGATCACTACTTTCACACATGGGGTAACATCTTATTACTTGCTTAGGAGAGTGGACCTTTTTCAAGTTTTATATGAAGGAGATAGCAGAGATCATAAGTCTCTCTTATGTCCCTCTTCAGTCCAAACTGAATATAGTCCCTCTTCAGTCCAAACTCCTCCCAAGTTTTTCTTCCCCTTTCTATGACATAAAACCTTATGGTTTATTGGGGCACAGGATAAGGCGAGACTGTTCCACAGAACTGCACAGAATTGCAAATACACACCCCACTCTCACCTCTCCTGCCATGAACTGCCCAAATCCTGGAGGAAAGGTCACAGTTGCTATAAGGAAGGTTATAACCCCAGGGTATATGAGGCGGCTGAAAAGAAAGAAAATTTTATTAAAACACAACCTCACATTCTTTTCTTGTAGCACTATCACTTCAGGACTATGAATGCTATTTCTGTGAAAGCTCTCTGCCACATCTGTATCCATTGCTTTGGAGTTCTGTTACTGGCAATTTAATGCCCTGCTCCACTGATCATCATCATTCATAGAGAGTTCAAGTGTCAGCAAAGACATTTTTCCCATCAGAATTAGTGTAATGGGAGGGATGGAGGGAGACAGGGATGTACAAAATGCACAGACTTGAATACACGGGGGGGAATGTGTGTTTACAATGATGTGTTGACCTATTGTCAAAAGCCAGCACCTCCTCCATTTGTCCTGATTATGCCAGTCTTGCCTCTTCATCCCCCATGCAATGTATCCTGTCCTACTGTATTTAAATGTAGGTTTTTTCCATACATTTCTGCATGCATCCCCCATTGCATTAACTCTTATGAGAAAAACTGCTTTTCTTTCCATTGAATTGCTGACTGTCACAATTTTTGGGAAAGTGTCCTTGGTGGCTAGTGGGTCTAGCTGTGCTGGGCCAGTGGGGCATAGCTGGAGAGCAGGCTGAATCCCTCTGTGTTTGCCTGCTGCTGTGTCTAATCCCAGGATGGGTTTCTGGGTACACTGTGACGCTTCATGGGCACTAAGACAACATGAGTCTAAGCTGCCTCCACGTGCTGGACTAATCCTGTCAGGCCTCCCCTGACAAATTACTGTGTTCCCTACAGGAATTTCTGGCTGAGATGCTGTGGTATTCAGGAAGACAAAACATAACCTTTAATTTCTTTCACTCTAAGAACCTACAAAATTCTGAGAAATTAGTCAAAAGTTTAAAGTAAATTCCCGCTTTTCAGGCTTTGCTCCACGTCTCTATTAACTTTGTTTGATGGGTCTGCTGGTGCTTGTGGGTAATGCTACATAATGAAAAAAGACAATTTTCCTTCCACATTATAAATAAAGTCAGTTTGAACTTCTTTTTTAAGTAGTGGTTTTCTTCTGCTCAGATCTGCAACTTGCTAAGAAATGTAGGTCCTCCACACCTCTCAACTTAAAAAATTCTTATAACATCAGATTTCTTCTGTAAAAAGACTGAAGACATTTACAGTTAGCCACCTTTTCTTCTTCAGGTTATAACTTTGGAGGTTATAACTTTATTAGAGAGGGGAAAAAAGTATCTTCAAGTGCCCTGTAAAACCTTTATTGCTAAGATTTTAATTTTGTTTTGCATATCTCTTCCATGCAGTAATTCACACTATTTGGTTATTATCAGTTTCAGCTTTTAGTTCGTAAGTATGCAGTAATTGCAATACCGCAGCACATTCTTTACATTTTTGCCCACATTTTGATTTAAAAAATTTTAGATTTTAAAGACATAGTTAGATTTCAGTTGTATTTAATTTTCTTAAATATAAATGATGTTGAATTTATTTTTTACAGGTTCTAAAAAAAAAAAATCAGAAGCAGCATGATCTTAAGAAGCATGATAATTGATTTTCTAATTAAAAACATTTTCTGTCCAATCAGTAGTTTCCCTTGTCCTCTTAATGAATATTACAGACTCTTCCTTCTAAATCAAGAAGCTATTTGAAACTATTGGGGCTAGTCAAGAAGAAAATCCAGCTCAGAACAAATTCTTTTGATGTTTGCAGATACTTTGTTCTCATATAATTGCAGTTTCTCATATTTTTACTATCTTACACTTGAAATAGTTCTACTAGCTTCCAGGAAGCATTTATTACTATCCAATACCAGTAGGGTATAAAAATCCAGTCCCTAAAGAGAATATCTTCAAAGGCACTCACTATTTGGTGAGAAACTGGCTCAGACCTCTATGACGCCTGATGCATAGGACCACTTGGCGATTGAGATAAACGAAAAATGCTCCAAGGAATCCAGAACATATCCTAAAGTGGAGAAAATTAAATAAAATTATACCAAACACAAACCATCAACCAAGAAACTAGGTTCAAGTGTTTTTCATCTTCAACTGTTTATGAAGTCTTTTAAATGTCACCTAGAGGGTTACTCCTACAGCAACTCACTTGAAGACATTGACTCCCTGATGAAAGGGGAGAGATTATTTTGGACCTCTTTCTTTGTCACACACACTGCCAGTTTACCACTTAGATTTTCTCTTGCTTAGAGGGGGAAATCTCATCTATAAAAACTATAAGTTTTATCTATAAAAATAATCTATAAAAAAGGACTGACAGATCTCCATGGGGCTGGAGAAGAGCAACTGGGCAAAGACCAGTATTGTCAGAACTTAGACATCAGGTTGGAACAGGAAACAGTAAAAATGAAGGTAGTTTAACTCTGTTTCAGCAGAAGTATACACCTACACCAAATATTAAAAGTAATAGCAAATCTTGTGCCTAAACCAAAGTATGTCATCTCTGATCCTAATCACTTAGGCCTATGTTCCTGATCCTAATAAAGCCAAAAAAGTATAGTTGTGTAAAGACTGGCCTTGATCCTTGTGCTCTCTAGCTTAATGAGACCTGGATAAACAGGGCCTAATACTCAAAGTGAAGTGGGAAAAAAAAAGAGTGAAAAAAGAGTGCCTTTGGAATTGGTAAGGGGAAGTGTTATTTTATGTGGCAAATAATTAACCCACAGAATACTGAGGATTCAGATTTACTGAATGGCCCTTTAACCATGTTGATGGCATTCCCAAATGAACTGACCCAACAAGTCAGTTTTCACTTGACAAAAATGGGACAAAAGATTTAACCAGGAAGATTCCCTTTTACAAGGCCAGAATGGTTATCCTTTTCAAGAGAGGTTGGTACACTCGACATGGTAGCAAGGGTAACTGAACCGTAATTGGATCCAGTGAGAGAAACAGTTAATTTATTAAGATAAGTGCCAGTTTTATTTTATTTATGGAGATGTCTGAGTTGGTTTTGTTTGTGGAGGAAAATTTGGGAAAAGAAAGAATGAACTTATATCCAGAACCTAGACCAATTTAGACTTACTTTTTTCCCAGAACTTAAGTTCCGAAAAAGATAGAGGGAAATAAACAGCTTGATAATACCCACATTTCCTTCTTTACCCATAGTGTTACACGGGCACCATTTCTGAAGGAGGAATCCCAACAAGCAGAGGCCTTAACTGTGACAATCAAACTGTTTAAAAGAGCTGTAACTGTTTTGCAAAAGAATTCCTAACAGAGCTTACATGATAACCTTTACAAAGAAAGGAGCCAGGCTCCTGGGAACTTACCCTATTACAGCAAACGCTGGCAGCTCTTGCAGATCAAAGGGGAAATCCATGCGAAAGTTTGTTCTGAACAGGGCTGTGATGGTGACTGTGAGAGAAGAAAGAGGTAGAGGAGGAAAGGGAATAATGAGGTGAGAAGTTAAATGCCATAAAAGTTAGGGGTAGGGACAGGGGAACTAGTTATATACATGCTCCTGTGTGGTTTCATGGCATTATATACAGTATTACAGATTGGCAGACTGCTCTGATTTCAGTAGTGCCTATTTTTGAGCACTTGCAACCCCAGCACTTTAGATGGTATAGGTTTGTTTTCAGAGAATGTATATTTTTTTTTAGCTAAAATCCCAGATTTTTAAAGGGTTTTCTTTTCTTATTTTCTTCTACCATCCGTTCTTTAGGAAATAAAAACTCTTCCCACTATACTCACTGACTCTCAAAACTCTCTTTGCCGAGGCAGGCAGTGCTTACATATCTGGAGAAACTGTGTCACACACAGTTGTGATTGCCTTCTAGAAACAAAACTCAGATCCTCTCTGAAGTCACATCTGCCAAATTTTTGACTGGTACCAAAAGAATGAAAGTCTTAGAAATCAGAGATGGAAAAGATCAGCTAAGACCCGTCTTCTCCAGCTCACCTCTCCTGGTTGTGTTGCACTGCTAAAATGACTCAGGTGTTGAAACCTGTCCTGCTTTTACCTGGAGGTACCTAATTGTGTGGAAACAGTAAGTATCTGTATGACAATAGGTGAAGTACAAATTACCAATCTAGTGCAGCGTGGAGATGCAGCTGAATGAGGATGGATATAAATCCCAACTTGCCCTGGATGAAGGAATTATTTGTACAATGGGGAAAGAAAAGAAGCAGTGAAAATCTAGCATTACATGATAATTACAGGAGGCATTAGTTACTTGTTAATTGGTCAGACAGGATCAGGTTTAGAACAATGATTTAATCAGATCTCTGTGGGTTACATTACCTAAGATAGCTAAGCCTGTCTAACAGCATGCTACTATCCCAAATGGGAAGATCTTAATCCCTGCCTCTTCACCCCGTTCCTTCCCTCCTGGCTGCACTGTTCTCCCCTCCCATCGGGCACAATCTGACACATGTCAAGGCCTTCACTGGGTTCTTTCACCTCATTAAAACCTACCAGAAAACCTATCTGCTTTTTTCCTGGATTAGTCCTCTGCCAGGGAAATGAGTTGAATGGAGGGGTCCAACGAACACAGAGATGTTACAAGGGAGGGGTGGAAGAACAGTCAGTGAGGGAAGATGGTGAAAAGCAGGATATCCTGGTTTTTGTTAGATCAGCCCAAGAAAGGGATCATCTCAATTTAGTTTTAGGAAACAGACAGTCCAAGCCACTAAATGACAATGCATTAAATGTATAGTAAGGCTCACTGTCAAAGAGTTTTATCACAGGGCAGCAAAGATGACCAGGGCAAAGGGAAACAGTCACAGCACTTAGTGTGACTCTTTCTAGGTTCCCTCTCTAGTCCCACAAGACAGAAAGAGATTCTTACAGAAATGCTCATCCCACCTATCTTCATCCTCTTTCCTGAGTGACTAAGCCATCCTGAAACTGTGTGGCTAAGCCCTTTTCTCTCCATTGGCTACAAACTCTACTAGTTTAGAGTGGCTGTCCAACTCTTACAAGGTGAAAGTTAAGAGAAGTAAAAAGAAATGAGAAAGTCTAGTTAATGGAAAAGTACTTTAAAAAGCTTTGAACTTTAAAATACCACTGAACCATGTGTAGAAGTGATCAGAACGAGCAGGAGGAAGACAAGGTGTAAAACACTATGGCAAATAAGATGAAGGTTCAGGACAAGGTAAAACAGAAATCCTGCAAATTGCAGAACTCCAGCCTTCCGTGATTAGCAAACAGGGGCCTAAGTTGCAGCAGCCAACCAGAACGAGCCAGATGTTATCTGGAAAGTACAGGTAATGGTGTAAAGCCAGCCAACAAAGCCGTCAGTATCCAGAAGCCAGCAAAGATTTTGTGGGTCTAAAAGAGAAAAGAATTTTGGTAAGATGTTACACAACTTATTTGCACCTGTCTACTCTGATGTGATTGCTTCCCTACCTGCTACTTCCTGGTAGCAATGATGCAGCTTGGAGGTAAAAAATGACAATAAAAGAGGTGTTAAACAAGCTGCGGACTTAAAAGGCATTAAGATCTGAGGCAGATTAGGAATGAGGTGGATGAGCTATTTAAAAAAATAATTCACCTTCTGTAATGAGCATCAGGGCCTCCAGGGACTGGAGCGGGACTGATGAGTAGCTTACGTGTTTAAGAAGGTTGTGGAACAATGTGGTAAAGTACAAAGAGAGTTGTGCATTAGCACCTGGCAAATTGGTTAAATACATATAGATTTTAAAAGCAAGCACAACCCTGGAAATACCTGTTTTGAACCTCAAAGCCACGGAAAAAACCCAGAAGGATAATTCAAATGAATAAAATCTTTGTGACGTGGAGTTTTTTAATAAAACAGTAAAACCAGATTAAGGGGAATGGTATTTATTTAGATTATTGAGAGGCCCCACATGAGGCTGTGGAGCCTCAGGTAGAATGGCAAAAGGGAAAATATTATCATGGATCAGAAGCTAGCCCAGAGAGAGAAAAAAAGTGAGTTTATCATGTCAGACATGTAATGATGCATGTCATAGTACACATGTAGCAGGAGTTGCTAATTGTTGTCTTGGAGCCCTGTGGTGTTGAATGGGTTTCTTCAGAGGTCATATTGGAGCTGATCCTGTTTAACATCTGCATCAATGTCCTGGATGACAGGATGGAACTCACTCATCAGTGACCATATTGAACTGGGGAGGGAGAGAAGGTGGTGGTTTGTCACCTGGAGGGCTTCATTCAGAGTGGCCTCCACAAACTGGAGGAGCTGACCAGTAGGAACATCATAAATTCAACAAAGATGAAGATTTAGTCCTGCACCTGGAATGACATGCACATCGGTTACAGTCTGGTGGCCTAGTGAACAGGAAAAGCTCTGCTCTCATGCCAGCGGATCCTGGTGGATACGATGCTTAATATGTGCCCTTGTGGCAATGAAAGCTAACCACATACTAGGCCACATCAGCAAAAGCACAACCAGCTGGTTGACAGTGGTGATTATTTCCTTCTATACAGCACTGAAGAAGCCACATCTAGAAAACCCAGTACAAACGAAATGTTACAAAACTGGAGAGACTCCAGTGGTGAGCCCCAAGATGGTCCAGGACATTGGCACAGGGAGAGGCTGCAGGAACTAATTCTACTCAGCCTGGAAACGAGAAGGCCCAAGGGGGTTCAAACAGCAGTCTCCCCTACCTCATGGGGAAGTTGCAAAGACACAGTGGAAGAAAGAGAGGTAATGAGCACAACTTCCAAGAAGGGAATTTTGTCTACATAGAATGAGCAAATGCTTCTTTCTGGAGGGGTGGTTCAACACTGGAACAGATGCCCAGACAGGCAGTGGAAAGTTGTCCGTGCTGTAAGCAGGAGTTTGGAGTAGAGAGCTCCGGGGTCTCTTCCAAACTGAATCTTTCTATGATTCTATGATTATAAATTTTCTGAGGAAGACAGCAAAATCTGCACATGATACTGAATCAGTTTACCCTGGTTGGAAGCAGAGAGGCCTGCATGAGAAAGGCAATGTTCTGTGTTGATGAATGCAAAATAATGCAGTGGGGGAAGATTATTGATACATTAGGAAGGAATCTGATCTAACAATAGTATTTCAAGAAAGAGAGTTGGATCAGTGTAGACAGCTCTAAGAAAATGGTCTTTTAACCTTTTTCCTAACTACAGCTGCTAGAAATGTGTAAAAGCTGCATAAAAATGGTATCATAATGCAGAGTTTTGCATTGCAGTATTGTAATGCCTTCCAATAAAGCAATTTGATAGCCACATCTGCTTGGAACTCTGATCATTTTACCTCAAAAATATTCTGGAAGAAGATGGCAAATGTTTGCCTAAGCAGAAAAGTTAGTTCACATATTATGTATGAATTTACAATAGTTGAGATGTTCCACATGAACATTACAGGTAGATGTGCATAGTGCACATTAAGGGAAGCAACTTCTTCCACTTTCAAGTACATTAACCCACCTCATACAAAGGCTTTCTTACTGGGTGATAATAGTAGCTATACAGGAAACTAGCACAAAGACATCCGCTTATTTATCGGGTGCATAACTTCTGGGAGTAGACAAGACTTTAGAGATTGTGAAGACATCAGAGTGGGAGCCTAAGAAAAACGCTTGCATGAACAAAGGCTGAAAAGACCGGGCTTGTAACTTTCAGAAGGAAATGAGGAAGAAAAGACATGAAAGATAAGTTAGAGTGGGCATGATAAAGGATCATAAAATAATGAATGACTTAGCTAGACAAAAGTTTCTAGTTCCTTAATACAAGGACAAGGAGACTGGCAACACAGACAAAGAAAAATCAGAACTTTGAAAAGGAACTATTTTTCATAGACAATTTGATCATGGAACTTTTTAACCCAGACAGTCAATGAAGCACAATGTAAGGAGCCATTAATATGGGTATTAAAGCTGTCTGGATGATTTTGAAGAAGGGACAACAATTAAGATGTTTCAGGATTAAGCTAATTTCTAATGATTTGAGAAATTAGCAAGGGAGATAAGTAGACAGAGTGAAGGATAGGAGATTATCTCCTGTCATCTGTCTTTGAATTTCTTATATTTTCCTCTGGAAAGAACAGAAAGATGTGTTTTTTGTGATAGATCGGATGGTTGAACACCTCTCAATATGCGGTAGTGTTTCACAGACAAAGGTGTAGTCACTTTCTACATTCAAGTAGAAAGTGCAGTCACTTTCTATATTCAAGAGAATATTCAAGCCAAATAATGTTTTAGCACAAAAAAAATCCAACCCTGTGAAGTCAAGTTATAGCAGTTCTAAGTAAGTGAACTGCCCACATGGAGCTCAGATCAATAAAATAGATGCAACTCCAAGAATAAAAGATAAAGACATTATAAGCAAGAAGTTTACAAAGAAATGGCTGCCTTCTGCCATTGCCACAGTATCTGAAATAGAATAGAATAGAATAGAACAGAACAGAACAGAACAGAATAGAATAGTTCAGTTGGAAGGGACCTACAACCATCTGCTTGACCAATTCAGGGCTGACCAAGTTGAAGCATGTCATTAAGGGCACTGTCCAAATGCCTCAAACACTGACAGGCTTGGGGCATCGACCACCTCTCTAGGAAGCCTGTTCCAGTGTTTGACCACCCTCTCGGTAAAGAAGTGCTTCCTAACATCCAGTCTAAACCTCCCCGGTGCAGCTTTGAACCATTCCCACACATCCTATGACTGGATCCCAGGGATAAGAGCTCAGCACCTCCCTCTCCACTTCCCCTCCTCAGGAAGCTGTAGAGAGCAATGAGGTTGCCCCTTCAAGGTGGGGCCATACCAATGCTGAATACAGTGAGATAATCACCTCTTTTGACCAGCTGGTCATACTGTGTTTGATGCACCCCAGGTTGCGGTTTGCCGTCTTGACTGCCAGGGCACACTGCTGACTCATGTTGAGCCTCCTGTCAACCAGCACCCTGAGATCCCTTTCTGCGGGGCTGCTCTCCAGCCACTCCTCTCCCAATTTATACTTGTGCCCAGCGTTACTCCGTGCCAGGTGCAAAATCCGGCATTTGGGCCTGTTAAATTTCATCCCATTAATGATAGCCCAATGCTCCAATCTATCTAGATCCCTCTGCAAGGCCTCTTGTCCCTCAAGAGAGTCAACAGCACCTTGCTAATGGTGCATTCAACTCCTGCATCCAGATCATTGATGGATGTTCAAATATATCAAACAGAACTGGCCCTAGAACTGAACCCTAAGGAACACCACTGGTGACCGGTCGCCAGCCAGATGCAGCCCCATTCACTACAACCCTTTGAGCCCTGCCCTTCAGCCAGTTCTTCACCCAGTGCACCTTGAACCTGCTCATCCCATAGCTGGACAACTTGTCCAGAAGGATGCTGTGAGGGACAGTATCAAAAGCCTTACTAAAATCCAGAAAATCTGCATCCACTGCCTACCCTTCATCCACTAGGTGGGTGACCTTATCATAGAAGGATATCAAATTAGTTAAACTGGACTTTCCCTTTGTGAACCCATGCTGACTGTGCCTAATGATTGCATTGTTCTTTAAATGCCTTTCAACAGTACCCAGTATGATCTTCTCCATAATTTTTCCAGGAACTGAGGTTAGACTAACAGGTCTGTAGTTCCCTGGGTCTTCCCTCATGCCCTTTTTGTAGAGTGGAATAACATTGGCTAGCTTCCAGTGAGTAGGGACCTCCCCAGACTCCCAAGACCTCCCAACACCAGGTAGCTCCTTCAGTACTCTGGGATGAATCCCATCAGGCCCCATGGACTTGTGAACATTCAGCTGATACAGTGGTCCCTTACAATTTCAGTGTCCACAAATGGAAAGTCACTGTTCCCACACTCGTAGTCCTGTTAATGCTCTCCTGAACAAGCTTGTTCTGTGCGATCGGTCTACACAAATGTTGCACTCGTGCTTTTCAGTTACTTGAGACAGTTATTTTTTCAGGACCTCCAGTTGCACCCTACCAATCCTATAGCCTCCTAACCATTTTATCATCTCAATTTTCTAGACTATTTGGTTTTTATGCTTCTAGTCAAGAGATGACCAAAGCAGACCATGGAATTTCCAGCAGATCACAGGTGCTTTTCAGTTACTTGAGACAGTTATTTTTTCAGGACCTCCAGTTGCACCCTACCAATCCTATAGCCTCCTAACCATTTTATCATCTCAATTTTCTAGACTATTTGGTTTTTATGCTTCTAGTCAAGAGATGACCAAAGCAGACCATGGAATTTCCAGCAGATCACAGCAGCATACACTGTAGTATGCATTACATCCTCTGTGATGGGATACCAAACACAGAGGTATCTGTGTTTGCAGCCTTGAGATTATGCTGAGTAGAGGCAAAAATCCCACCTCAGGGGCCCTCTTACTTCCCAAGGACTCATATTCAGTGATTTTTCAGTGATATCCCCAGCACACCTAGGAATAGGTTGGGTTGTACAGTTGATGACATAAGATACTTCCCTTTCTCTTTTCCTACTGTACTGCTGGAAGTCACATGTCATGGCAGAAGTTTCAAACATCATACAAGGTTGTAGTTTCGAGGAAGATGGAAAATAATAAATTAATAGAGCAACTTTTGTACAAAGAAAGTAGGAATGGTTCTTAGCTTACCTGCATCCTTGTTCCAAACAGCAAGGACTCGGAAAATGAAGGCACTAAAGGTAGCTGCAAAGAAACCTCTCCAATAATTGCGCACAGCAAAGTATGTAGAAGTGACCTCAATGCTGAAAAGGACCCCTAGAAAGAGTTGGAAAGGGAGCAAAGTTAAAATCAGAAGTGTAATGTTAGAAGCATGAGAGGCTTCTAAATAGTCTTCTAGAGCAGTGGTCTCCAAACTTCTTTGATCATGTACCCCTATCAATAAAAAATGTTTGAGCACATACCCCCCCAATATATGTGTATTTATTTAAAAATTATATACATGTACTACTGTACTAATATATTATGTACAATATAAAACATACACAAAAAATAGAAATTAAAAAAGGGTGAGTTAAAGATTAAAAAACAAAATTTTAAAAATAGTTTATTTATTAATGGAACAAAAAAATGTTTGTTCTTACAAAAAATATTGGTATTCTTTATTTTTTGAAATCTTGGTTTAACACTTTGTGATACAGTGATTCAAAGGTCTGGTTCTATGTTCACTTTATTTCAATACTTGGTCTTAATGGCTGTCATAGCTGAAAAAGATATCTCACAAAGATACATAGATCCAAATGCAAGAAATGCATCGTTGGCTGTGCTTACTAAATCATGATACTATTTTTTCAGTCCCATCCACCACTTATGCTAAGATTTTTGTTGAAACTTGCATAGTAAATTTCCATCTTCCCTGATGTCAATCAGTTGTTCTTGCAAACTAATCAGAAGGTGTTGAATTTTTATATCTTTAACAAATGTGTTCAAAACCCACTGAAACTCTTAATCTGGAAGATTTTTAAACAGGTTAGAAAGTTCTGTTTCCAAATTTTTAAGCATACCATATAAGAGTTTTTGTAGGTGACACACTTACATTGTATTTGGCAAGAAAATCACAAAAATCTCCACAGCAGAAGTTTCTTTTGAAAAGCAGTTACTTTCTCACCCACGGTTAGAACATCACTTTCACCTTGAAGGGATACATCAAGTATATTTATTTTTTCAAAAATAACTGCTAGGTAGTATACTACTGACAGATGCTTGTCATCACAGAAAAGATCAGCAAATTCAGAACACTTGTCTTCTTGTAAAAGAAAAATGTGTAACTGGTCTTTAAATTCAACAACTCTTTATTAAAGCCCATTGCCACGAGATAACCAGCAAATATCTGTATGGTACAAAGGATTTTCGTGGTCCCTCCCCATCTCATTACAAAGTATTGCAAAGATTCTACTGTTTCAAGGTCTCGTTTTTATGAAATTAACCAAAACAATGACATCCTGTAGCACTTTGTGCATGTCTGGCTCCCACTTCTTTGCTTCAATAGCTTGCCTATGAACAATGCAGTGGATGAATTTCAGGTGTGGTGCTATCTATGTAGCCTTACCACACAATCCTTTTCTTAGTCAAAGCAGTGCTCCACTGGTCATTATACTTGCACAGCTTTTCCATAAAACGTTTTTATTAAAGAAGGAATTTACTGTTGAGAATATAGCTCCTCTGGTAAATCTCTCCTTTAGTGGCTCACAGAAAGTGATTCTTCATGTATTTCACTTATTGAAACAGAATCTAGCAAATACCATCAGCTGAGACATGTTAGAAACATCTGTACTTTCATCCAGCTGCATAGCAAGCCTCTCACACTGTGTAATTTGTACTGATACTTGTTTCTTCAAATCTTCAGCAATGCTGTCTATGCGTCTTCCAACAGTGTTTGCTGACAAAGGAATGCATTTTAGTTTGCCTCTGTATTGCTTTCTGTGTATTATTTCAGCCATTTTTACTGTGGCAGGAAGAACAAGTGTTTCCCCAGTGGTATGTGGCTTTTTGTCTTTTGCTATGAAGTAAGAAACCTCAAAGGAGGCTTCTAAACATTTATCATTAAGTTCAGTGAAATTTTGTAAACTACTGGATTGAATATCACATAGCTTGAAACATTGCTGAATAAACTGTAGAGGTTTGTCTTCATGTTCTGGACGCGTAGTTTTTAAATGTCTTGCTAATTCTGATGGCTTCATACCATCATTAGCTAACTTCTCAAAGCACAATATACACTTAGGGTGAGGTTCATCGTTAATGATAGCGGATGTAAATCCATACTTCAAATAGTCTTTGATAACTTTTAGGTTTTTGGCCAACTTCTTGTCAGACCTGATTAGCTGGTCACTGTTTTTACCTCATAATGTGACTGATTAAGAGCTTGTACTAGGAGTGGAAGTGTCACTTCTGCCATTTTCTTGTCATTCGTCTGTGCTCGCATTATTAGTATTACCTTCAATCCATGGTCTCTTTGCAGGAATCTTTTTAAGCCACTTGTCCATTTTGTGAGGGTTAGTTTAGTTAACACTAGATAATATAATCTGTAAATCCACTTAGGTGGGCACACATTGATTGCAATACATTGCGATATGCTGAAAGTGAGCAAAAGAGTGAGGGCACCACTGTCAACTCTCTGCATTGTGAACAACTCTACACCCAGGACACCTCATGCACTGTATGTCACAAGTGGCCATCCGACATATGGACCGAGTGAGGGCACCAGTGCCAATTACTGAATATTAGTAAAGCTTAATTTATTTCTTATTTTTTTAGATTAAAAAAAAGATAGAAATTCCAATATTTTCTTCCCACACCCCAGTGGTTCATCTTGCACACCCCCTGAGGTATGCACACCCCAATTTGGAGACCACTGTTCTAGAGAGCCTTCCCCTCTTGCCTCCAGAATGCTGACAATGTGGAGAAAAAGACTGTGTCAGAGATGCTGGGGAGGTTGGTAACATTGAAGGTAAGCTTCTTTGTTCAAGGTAGTTGACAGATCAAAAATATGGTGCAGGAAAAGGGGAGAGGAGAAGAGGACTAGGCAGGAGAGGATTTAGGTACCTGAGAAAAAGGAAACAGAACAGCCACTTGCCTCCAAGTGGTGTCCCAAAGCAGCAGCCGACCCCCACGGCGCAACCCACGGTCAGGACATCCGTGTAATAATATGGCTGCTACTGGTGAAAGAGACAAAGAGAGACAGACAAACAGAAGAAAGAAGGAAAGAAAGCAGAGAGTGAGTAACAGAATTGGCAGGTACGGCCACACGCTCTGTCACCCAGCTCTGTCACCAGTCTTAGAGTTACAGCTATATTTATCTTACTTCTCCCTTCTGGATGGCTTCAAAACATTCAAAAGACAAGACCTGGCACAAGACAGGCATATACCTGGAGTCACATCTTCAAGAGACGTGGAGAAGGCAGCATCTCATCTTTCATTGAAACACGCACATTTCTGTCACTGTAGAAGAAATGTCTCGTGGAAAATCCTCCAGAGGGTGGAGGGCACATATGTATGTTTTACTCCATGTCTTTTACTTTGGCAGGGAACCTCAGGATGCACATGTGCCAGAGAGTGCCTCAAAAAACCCACCCTGTGAGTTTGTGTGCACAAGGCACATGCATATCCAGAACTGAGTGTGGACAGATGCTGAAGGTCCTGTCACCCTGGGTAGGTGAGTGGGTAACAGATCACCTAGTAAAGGATTGTGCTGTCCTGGTGAAAACAGTCACGATAATAAAGGGAAATGGAAGGTATAAAAGGTAGAGTCTCTCCTGAGACAGTTTTGGAAGCCACAGAGCTGTTGAAAGGGAGAAAATGCTCTCCCACTCTTTCTCCAAGATTTGGCCCTGAAATACCTGAGAATGGTGAAAGTTGGGCAGATAGGTTTTCTTTTATTTTGTCTAAATCCTAGGTGGTGTATAATACACCAGTGTTAAAAGCCTGGGTATTTGATACTTTCTACTATCACGTGTTCCCAAAGTAGCCTGTTATATCTCCCATGAGAGTTCTGAGAATGGGTGGTCTTGTGTTACGGTGGGAATCTGAGTGGCCAGATTGAACTTTAAGGCCAGAAGGCCATGAATTCCTATTTACCTGAGCAGGTGTTTGATAGAGTCTCAACCAAGAGGTGTCTCAAGGCTATCTCTGCACAGCCCAATAAAAAAGGGCCATGGACCATTCCCTGACCCAGAACAATGTGTCCTTATCCACAGCTTTGTCCTAGGTAACTTCTGGGCTCTATTAGTGCCCCTGTGGCCTTAAGACATAATCACGTCCGGAATGGGGATGGGATTCATGGAATCATAAAATCGTTTAGGTTGGAAAAGACCTTTAAGATCATCAAGTCCAACCGTTAACCTAGCACTGCCAAGTCCACCACTAAACCATGTCCCTAAGCACCACATCTACACGTCTTTTAAATACCTCCAGGGATGGTGACTCAATCACTTCCCTGGGCAGCCTGGTCCAATGCTTGACAACCCTTTTGGTGAAGAAATTTTTCCTAATATCC